AAAAAAAAAAAAAAAACCGAAAAAACTATGTTATGCAGAAAAATAAACTGAACAACTTTTGCCTCAGGGTCACATCGAAATTCTTTATCAAATGTAAAATAAAATATATTTTTTTTATTTATTATTTTTTTTCTATGGCCCGGCCGGGCAACTCTGGTAGCCTGGCTAGCTATCCCATTTTATGAGCTTGATTTATGCACTTCTCAAAGTTCTTATATTCAAGTTTGTTCCTGTTGACAGACTGATGACAGTGTCACAATCTTTTTGAGTCCACAATTGTTGTACTCTGTTGCTCAAACCGTGGTTCATTTATCGGGTCATCTGTGTTTCAAGGTACTAATATTGGGTTCAAAAACTTCTCTGGTTGTCTTTTTTTTTTTGATGGTTAGAGAGGAAGTTCTTCCGATTCCAACAGTGAGTTTTGGAATGAAGCGGGTGTTCAAGCTCTTGATGAAGTGGAGAAAGGTTCAGGGAAATCTGTGAGTTCTAACGAACATGGTGTCTAATCTGTTTTTTTATTTTCCTACTTTGTGATCGCAGATTGCTTTGCCATGGGCACTTCTCAGAGTTCTCATATTCAAGTCTTTTCCTGGTGACAGACTGATGATAATGTCACAATCTTTTCGAGTCCGCGACTGTTGTACTCTGTTGCTCAAACTGTGGTTCGCTTGTCGGCTCATCTGTGTTTCAAGGTACTAATATTTGGTGCAAAAACTTCTCTGTTTTTTTTTGTTTTTTTTTTTAATGGTTAGAGAGGAAGTTCTTCCGATTCCGACAGTGAGTTTTGGGATGAAGCGGCTGTTCAAGCTCTTGATGAAGTGGAGAAAGGTTCAAGGAAATCTGAAGCGGCTGTTCAAGATCTTGATGAAGTGGAGAAAGGTTCAAGGAAATCTGTGAGTTGTAACGAAGATGGTGATACCCGGTCTAATCTTTTTTTTCCCTACTTTGCAATCGCAGATTGCTTTGCCATGGGCTTGCCGACCTAGGGATTTTTTTGTCCTTCTTTGGAGGCAGGGATGTGAATTTGCAACCCTAGAATTTCGAGGTGACCAAAGGTTGCAACCCACAATCATATTTAAAGCATTCGATGTGCTTCCAAAGACTCTGACAATCTATAGTACTAATTAAACTTTGAGTTTCTCAAGAGCTGCATCGCTTATGCTTTGCACCTTGATTCTATTGTAATGAACCCAGACTGGAAGATACTTGTCAGACGTGAAACAGTTTTCACCTTTGGCAGTAGCCGATGCAGATCCCAGGGGTCGATCCCTTGACC